TTAAGAAGGTTTTGCGGGGGAGAGCTTTCCAGGCAGGCAGAGAGGAAGTACATGGGAAGGTCCTGAGGCACCTCTAAGAAATGAAACATGGCAAGTCTGTCATGTAAGTTGAGGTTTCAAAGTAGTGGGGGGCCCCGTTCTCCCACAGCATCAATGTGAAGCTCTTGAGTATTTGGAGGCCCTCCTGTCATCTGGCCCTCCACTGCTGTCAAGCCCTGACTCATTCAAGCCTTCCTGGTTTTATGCATGGTGTGTAGACTTCAGCAGCACACACATGTTCTCTCTTGCTCATATGCTCCCTCCCTTCCACCTTCCCTCTCTGGCCTTAAAATGCCTTTCTCTTTACTCCCAGTCCTCTTCCACCTCCCGCACGTTCACACCAGCCCTGGCTTAGTTCTGCCCTCATCTCCAAGAAGTCCTCCTTGCTCTCTCCTCCACACTCCACTGCCACATCCCATCCCGTCACATCTGCCACAGGTTACTGTCATCTTCTATTAGAGTCAGTTTTCCTCTTCGGACAGGAAGTTTTTTGCAGTCTGGGATCATGTCTTACTCATTTTTGTGTTCTCACAGTCTAACGTGAGGTCTGGAACATAGACAACTTATTCAATCATATTTATTGACTGAGTGAACAAGATAAAAAAATGTCAGCTTTGTTGTGCAGTATAGCACGTACATTGACATGCAGCTAAGAAATGACATCTGCTAGCTTTTCTCTTCACAAAGGAGAGATTGTCACCACAAGGCTCCTGTTCATGTGTGGGAGATTTGCATGTGAGATGATTGAGCCTGGGGTTTCTTGAGGAAGACCGTGGCAGATTCCCAGGCCATCATCTCTAGTCTCCAGTAGAAATGCAGCAGCCCTTCTCAGACTGCTTATGTCAGTCTTTTAGCCTAAAGCCTTCAGGTATGCACCACCTTACAGGACAGGAGGGGGAAAGGAGTGGTGAGGGGAAGAGAGAGGAAGGGCATTGACGGGGGGCAGCGGTGACAAGGCCCAAGAAGTGAGGACGAGCATGGAGAGTGTTGGGTAAATATTTCACGTGTGATCTTCTAACGCAGTGGTTAAACCAGACGTTCTGCCTCCAAAACCATTGCCTGTAGGAGAACTGACTTGGCATTAGCCGCTGACATTTTGGGTGTTCATTAGTGCTGAAGTGATGCAGCTTAATGAAAACTCAGCACACAACTTTGATATTCCCACTCAATTATAGTTTAAAACACACAGGAAGAGCCCTTGTATACCTGTTGTGTTTGGGCAGCCCTGAAGGTTTCCTGTGACAGTCATTGTGGGTATTTTCATTTCTTTAACTTTCTGACAGCTAAACTCAGGACCCCTCCAGGACAAGTCATGGGATGAGGTCTCTATAGACTGAGGGGAATGGTGGCATGCAGCACAGTGTTCTCAAGCTCTCCTGGCCAGGTGGGGCCTGTGGAGAGTCTTCTGAGCCTTGGCCCAAAGCTGATGTGGGCAGACCCCAACATGGAGCTTGTGCCATCTTCATAGTTCACAGGGCTGTGTGTGGTAGTAGAGCATGCAGAAAAAGAAATTTTGTTTTTTCAGTAATGGTCAAGCTGAGACTGAGAAGAAATATTTGGAATCTGAGTTTCTGGAAAGGAATGAGTGTATCAGCCTTTAATAAAAGAGATACCAAGGAATACAACCTTTGAGGGCAGAATCTCAGCTCCTCCAACATTATGGTTTTGGAAGTGCTCGTGTGTTTTGGCTTCCAAAGACTTGCTCTGTGGTCTGGTAACAGAATGTTAAATCCAGGTTACATATTCACTTTACCATACCACACCTGAGAGGAGGTAATAATTGCAATCTTTGTTTCAAGAGGAATCTAGAAAGGGACTGAAAACTAAAAAGATGTGTCAGTGTCCTTGTCCTAGATTGGAAACAGATGATATTGCTGGCAGAGAGAGATATGATCTCAGTCATTTAACTAGGGTGTTGCAGCTCAGATTATAGGTAATTACTCAACTGTATTAGGATCATAAAATAGGTAGATGTATGCATATTTGTGGTGTTCTATAGTTAAGTAATTGAGTCCCTGGGTGGCACAAATGGTTAAGTGCTGGACTGCTAACCGAAAGGTTGGCAGTTCAGACCCATCCAAATGTGCCTTGGAAGAAAGGCCTGGTGATCTGCTTCCAAAAGATCACAGCCTTGAAAAGCTTCTGTAACAGTTCTACTCTGCACACATGGGGTTGCTATGAGTTGGAATGGACTCAACAGCAACTAACAACAACAAGAGTTAAATAAAAATAATCACCTCATAGATACATGGCTGGGCTCTGAACTCTAAGAGCAAATGAATTGTTAGATGAAGTATATAAAAGGTGTTAGTCTAAGAAGACACTGTCCAGGGCTAAGGAGAAACATACGCTCCCAAATAATAATTTGCTGAACATCTCACAAGTTTCTCTAAATGAGTCACAAACGTCCCCTAATCAGGTTGTGTTTGATCCCAAACTATGCCCCTTTTAACCGTGTGACAGGAAACTTCGGAAGTGGCTAAATTGTTACCTAAATTGAACTGCTTGATTCCAGAATGGATAAGTACAAGTCAGTAGACAATTCAAAGCATGCCTGAAAATAACTTTAGAGTTCAAGTTCAGATACATTTTAAATATTCAATAAAGTATTGGTTTGTTGTAATTCGTATGTATTTTGGCATTTTATTTTTCTGTACCAATTAGAATACAGTTCTTACTAAAATTATTATGTAGGTGTAGGGATAAAGCTGTTTGTATTATCATCAGATGCTTGGCTTGGTTTACTGTTTGCTTCTACTTGTCTTCTGTACCCAGGCCCTTACTATATTCTTGCATTTACACATAATTTTTCCACAAAAGGGGCAGGTGGAGTGTGAATAAATTGATCGTAGCCACTCCCCATGCAGATAAACTCACCACCTTACCACTACCCTTCTCTACCCTGTTTCCTGCTATATTTTCCAATAAGGGAATGACGGTAAAGATGAGAAACTACTACAAGTACAGTCAAATTCTCTGGAACGCGCTACCTTCCATACATAATAACCTTTCTATCAACTAGTTTTTTGTTGTTTTTTTTTTCTCTGTGCTTGCTACAGTCTACTGTTACGAAGCATACAAATTATAAGAAAATAAACTGATAAAGCAATTTCCCCGGCCTCAGGTCACTGTGTATTAGGATAAATCTGCAGCTGAAGTATCCTAATGTCATGTTCAGGGAATGAGAGGGGTGGTAGGCTAGCCCACGCCCCGTCTGAATGAGAGAAAATCTCACAGGTCACATGCCAGGTTTGTCTGTATACACATTCACGAGAGGCTGAAAATTCACTCCATTTTCCAAACTAGTGTTTTGTGCTCTTGGGGGAAGTACACTGGCTGAATTGTTAGAAAAGGGTTACTCAGGGACACCAGGAACTACTCTTCACAGATGTTGGTTCAGAAGAAAGTAATGTGACAGCATCTCCAGAGAGAAATCCTGCCAAATTCACCACATCTAGCAAATGGCAGGCATCGTAGGGCCCCAGAAGGTACCTCCTTGCTCCGTCTAGCTTCCTCAGTCATGCTCCAGGGAGCAGAGGACACTGGAGTAAAGACAGCCCTCTCTCGCCTCATTACACAGCGCATTGAGACATGAGATCCCAGAACAAAAACAAAAAAAGGAACATGTTGTTTTCAGGAAATATTAGACTACAAGTCACTGTTAGAAGGGGTAGAAACAGGTAAAACTACAGGTCAGTAATTAGCTACTTATAAGGAATTGACGTGTTTATTGCCCTATCAAGAGATGTTTCTCTAGTTGGCTTAGGAGACTGGAGTGCTTTTATGAAGAATTCTCTGCCTGCTCCATAGAATCCCTGAGAAGCCTGATCTGGGCCCTCATTCTCTGTGGGACAGACTGGGGAGGTAATAGGATTTCAGAAAGGCTCAGGCCCAAGACCCAAAGCTAAACCTAGAATCATGTTTCATAAAGGTCCTCTGACCTTTGGGTAGACAGACAGACTAGGAATTAATCCAAACTAAACAGTTTCACCAGATTCAAACCCTCATTCCCAGGGCAATGCTAGATCCAAGCTGGCCTCCGGGGAGAGGGAGGAAGAAGAATCACGTTTTTCAGGGTGCATTCTCCTTCGTGTCTAGCTTATTTTCAACTTGATGGGTCCACAGTCTTCTCACAAGGCTAAAATAAATTGACATTGCTTTATACCCAGCCTCTGAACCTCCACATTGTTAGCGTGTAGCTTTCAGTAATATAGACAATTCATTGTAGATTCTCAAAATTAATGATGTAAGTCATGTTTTAATTAACTGAGGTCATTCAAGGATAACTTCATCTCAAATATGAGGACGCCAGATAAACAATTAGAATTTAATGATTGACTTCAGATTTTAAGTTAATTCTAAAATACTTTATATTCTGAGAGGCTGTAAACTATTTTGACCCTGGTGAACATATATTCAGTAGAGTCATGCTCATAAGCCCATTCGAAAATCTGATGCTACAGTTAAGGATGACACAGTATTTTCCAAATTGTTTATTTTTTACTAGGATGTGGGGAGTCTCTGGGTGGTGCAAACGGTTAAGCATTCAGCTACTAACTGAAAGGTTGGTGGTTCGAACCCACCCAGAGGTGCATTGTGCAGTATAGTTTGATGAGTAGGGGTACAGACTCTTGAGCATGAGTTTATCTTCCAGCTCTACTACTTCCAAACTGGTGACCTTGGGAAGGTTGTTTAACCTAATTACGCCTCAGTTTCCTTACCCTGTAAAATGGAACTGGTATTAATTCCTACCCACAGAGTTGTGGTGATGATTAAATGAGTGACTACACATAAAGCACTTAGACACGGTCAGGCACAGTAAGCTCATTAAGTAAATGTTCACTGTTATTGTTAGCAGTAGTGTGGTAGTCAGAGATGGTGCTAGGAATGTGTGATGGCTTGTAGGAACTACAGCAGGAATTGTATCTCCTTGGTTGAATCCTCTCCTCTCCCTCTGACAGGAAAATGGCAGATGCATGACAGCGGCCTCCTGAACATCACCAAGGTGTCTTTTTCAGACCGAGGTAAATACACGTGTGTGGCTTCTAACATCTATGGCACTGTGAACAACACAGTGACCCTGAGAGTCATCTTTACCTCTGGAGACATGGGCGTCTACTACATGATCGTCTGCCTCGTGGCCTTCACCATCGTCATGATCCTTAACATCACCCGCCTGTGCATGATGAGCAGCCACCTGAAGAAGACTGAGAAAGCTATTAACGAGTTCTTTAGGACAGAAGGTGCAGAGAAGCTGCAAAAGGCATTCGAGATTGCCAAGCGGATCCCCATCATCACCTCAGCGAAAACTTTAGAGCTTGCCAAAGTCACCCAGTTCAAAACCATGGAATTTGCCCGCTACATCGAAGAGCTGGCCAGGAGTGTGCCTCTGCCTCCTCTCATTATGAACTGCAGGACGATTATGGAGGAAATCATGGAAGTGGTCGGGCTGGAGGAGCAGGGGCAGAATTTTGTGAGGCATACTCCAGAAGGCCAGGAGGCCCCCGACAGGGATGAGGTTTATACAATCCCAAACTCTCTGAAGCGAAGCGACTCCCCCACCGCCGACTCAGACGCCTCATCCCTACATGAACAGCCTCAGCAGATTGCCATCAAGGTGTCTGTCCACCCACAATCCAGAAAAGATCACGTGGACGACCAAGAGCACGTGCAGTTTGAAGTCAAAGATGACGAGGAGACCGAACCGTCAGCCGAACATTCCCCGGAAACTGCAGAACCTTCCACAGATATAACATCCACAGAGCTAACGTCTGAAGAACCAACACCTGTTGAGGCATCGGATAGAGTATTGCCACCAGCTCACCCGGAAACTGCAGAGCCAGCGGTGACACATGACAAAAACACCTGCATTATTTATGAAAGCCATGTCTAATCACAACTCTGAAAAGCTATGCATATCGAGAAAATCAGGGGCTGCTCCTTGTGATAACAGAGGTAGTATGCACTTGCCGCTAAGCCTTACCAGGAGACCCTCATCCACTAGGTAGGAGTGATGCCCTCTTAAAAGGGGAAACATCTGTGTGCAGTTTATGTGACTGGAATTGCCCCAGTAGTGAAGGTATGAGAAACGTCAGGGTACAGGACTGATCATGCCGACAGAAGATGTCTGTTCACGTAACACAAATCATACAGACCAGTCTCTGCCAAATTCCTTAGCTGGTGATGTCCTTTTGTAAGATATTCTGAGCCCAAGAGCCCTGTCCAATGCATACCACATTGCTTTTCCTTTGACAAAGGCTAAGTCTCCTACAATAGCAAATGCACGTTCATGGGTTCGTAGCACTTTCTTCTCAGTTTTCATTACTTTCACTGTCCTTCGTATTAGTTGTTATTATATTCATCTTGATTGCTCTTCCTCGTTTAGTCATCTTTGTCGTTTTTGTCCTTAGTTTGCCCTAGAACATTTACCTCAGAGGCTTTGGTATCAGTCACCAGTACCAGGGCTGACACAAGTCATTCGTAATGTTCCCAAATAGTTACTAGGCTCTTTGTTACTGTTTCCCAGGCCTGTTTTCATACGTTGCTTTTTTTGTTTCTAATGAAGCTGCTATAGTGAAACTGAGAAAAAAAAAAAAAATTGTCCAGGAAATAGCACTTTAATAGCCAAATAAAAATGTGTTTACTTGTCCAGGTCTGGGAGCCTTTTGGTGAGTTCAACTGAGGTGTGGAGGCTTATGGTAAAAAGTTATAGATACCCATGAAAACGGCCGTTTACATTTAAGTAACATCATCCTCCAAGCAAAGACTGAGTCTTTACCTGGAAAATTTATTGCTTCCAAAGACAGAGGCATTTGAGTTCCTGTAAGTTATAGAATAGTGGCTTCCCAGGAGGACTTGCAGGAACCGGATGCCGTTGAGAGACTCAAACATTTGATTGGGGCAGCAGATACAAGGATCTGTGAAGTGGTATAACCAGGTCCTCTTTTGTGAACTGCGAAGCCAACCTGTTGGTCCTTGAAGGGGGGGAGTGTGACGGGTTAGAGTAATGGTGTAGAGAACTGTACCATCAAATTTCATGCCAAAATTACTGAATTAGTATTCAGGTCCAGAAGAAAGCAGTTATATGCAAGGCAGCGGGATGTGATAGAAGACAAAACTACCCATCCAGAGGCTTAATACCTTACACGACCGTGCAGTGATCAGCTGCCGGCTTTGGGCGAGTTTGGGCCTCAGTTTCCTCATCCGTGAGGGAGAGCAGACTAGATGAACCCTGAGCACTATTTCAATGGCCTGGCTCTCTCACGGAACCAAACTGATGGGTCATCCTTGCTCTTTTTCCCAGTCACTTTTAAAGATCTTCCTGTCTGGGTCCGCCTAACATTTTCATGCTGCATTACTTATTAAAACAAAATATCCATTTCAACAAATCATAGCATTTTAAACAAGTTGTAGGTTACCCCTCCCCCCACCCCCCCAAAAAAAAAAACACACATCAGGACCACTTCTACAGTTTGGGGGATTTAATGGTGGTGAAAATGAGGACATCATTTTCATTCATGAGCAGGAGATATAAAAACCTTTAAGTAGTACTCGGAGCCGTGGCCACAGGAAGTGACAGATGATGATGGAGGTTACATAGGGCACGTTGGTAATGAGGAAGTAGGCCCAGATGTGTATCCTCTCTCAGTCACTGTCTGGGTGAGTGATCTTGGACAACTTTTATTAATCTTTGTCATCTGTAAAATCCGCAGGTTGTACTTGATGGGCCACAAGATCCCTCCTAACTCAAACATTTAGAGTTTTATGGAAAGCTTGTGGAGCCCTGGTGGCACAGTGGTTAAGAGCTTGGCTGTTAACCAAAAGGTCAGCAGTTCGAATCCACCAGCCGCTCCTTGGAAACCCTATGGGGCAGTTACATTGTGCCCTGTAGGGTCGCTATGAGTCAACTTGGCGGCAACTGGTTTGGTTTGATTTTGGTCTAGAAAGCTTGTTATCTCCCACGATGGCCCCCATTGCATGAGACAAGCACTTATGGGAGCAAAAATGGGTAGGAGACTGGATGCGTTAGCTGTCCAAGTGTTACAGCAAATGTATCTGGCTCTGTAACTTAGGGGACTGGGCTTTTCTTTAGAGGTGACCTGAATGGGTTTATTTATAGATAACTGGTGTGACAGGTCCCTGGGTGGTGCAAACGGTTTGCGCTCAGCTATTACCTTGGTGGTGCAGTGGTTAAGAGCTCAGCTGCTAACTAAAATGTCGGCAGTTCAAATCCACCAGCTGCTCCTTGGAAACCCTATGGGGCAGTTCTACTCTGTCCTATAGGGTCACTATGAGTTGGAGTCAAGTCAACAGCAACGTTTTTTGTTTTTGTTTTTCTTTAGTGTGACAGGTGATCTGACAGACCTGGAGTTTGGTTAGACCTTTCTTGACAGGGAGTGAACTGTTGGCATCAGTTATAGATGTCTCAGATAGTCACAGAAAGAAATCAGCAGGGAGCAACCAGGAGAATCCACCATTCCCATTTGGACTCTGGACAAGGACTGCGTGTGTTTGGGCTGCAGAAAGTTCTATCCCCAGCTCTCAGAATGTAAATGTTTTCCAGTTGTGGTGGATGGAGGTCAACAGAATCTCCCTGTGGATCTGTATGCCCAGAGCAGCAACAGGGACTTCTGAGGCTCGTTCTGCCATATTGTGCGTGCTTTCCCGATTTTGTTCAGTTGTCATTCCACCCAAACCCATGTGCGAAGTTCCCAGAAGAGCATGTAGGCATTCGTTCTGTTTAGACATTGATTACAGAGCGATACTAAGCTAAAACTGGCATCTTTTTTATGAAGCAGGAGCAGAAATATGTGACCAAAGAATGTTTCCAGATTGGTTTTCATTTCTGTAGACTGGGGTGGGAGGAGGGGGCACACAGAGATTTTCAAGATGTCCTCCCTCTTTTAAGGCATCAAAATGCTTTTGATACAATAATGGCCAACTGAAAGGGAGATTGGCTTATAAAGGGGATTTCTCCTTCCAGAAATTCTACACTCTTCCTTTCCATCCTGTAGCTTCTTTTAAAAACATGAGAGACCATCCTGCAGAATACGAAATGCAGAAGACATTGTGACTTTCAGCTGAATTTTCAAAGATACAGTGAACTGTTCAGCTTTGTAGAAATTCACAGGAGTATGGCTGTGGCGTGTGTGTGTGTGTGTGTGTGTGTGTATGTGTGTGTGACTTATTTGAATAGTTTTAAAACCTTAACACTAAATTAATCCCAATCTATCCCCTTTGGGTCCTATGAAGTCATTCTTAAAATCAAACAATTTCTGGTTTGATTTTAATTTCTGAGTCATCCCAGTTATCTCTCTAGAGATTTTTTCTTTCTTTCTTGAAGTTCTGAAAATGATTCAGCTATGTGTGTGTATTTGATTCACTTATATTAACTGTAAGCTTGGATGGTATTTATTCTAAATGGAAAAATACAGAATTTTATACTGAAAATCTATGTAATTTATAATGGTTTTGTTTTATATATTATATTTTCATATCTTTAGGGCACATCTACTACTATTCTCATCTTTTTGTATATCATACTTCGCAAAAAGAAATACTAATACTTGACTAAGGAGCCCTGGTGGCACAGTGGTTAAAGCGCTTGGCTGCTAGCCAGAAGGTTGGCAGTTTGAACTCACCAGCTGCTCCACGGAAGAAAGATGTGGCAGTCTGCTTCCGTAAAGATTGATAGCCTTGGAAACCCTATGGGGCAGTTCTCCTGTGTCCTGTAGGGTCGCTATGAGTCAGAATCGACTTGACAGCAGTGGGGGAATACTTGACTAAAATCTCTAGGAACCAAATGTGGTATGTAACATATAGAAATCTCTAAAAATACCTGAATGTTATCATCCTTCGCAAGCATTGTTGTGCTGTGTTATTACATCCGTAATGTTTGTCTCAGATGCTCATGAGCGTTCCTTTTTCAAGACTAAGACTAAATTTCAAGGCCTGACACCCTACACCGTGGATCCTGGAACCCCCTTCCCTTCTTTATCCTTTTGAATTGTAGACATTTGCATTAATAAACTTCCCTTTGAAGGGCAAATGTGAGACAATAAGAAAGCAACTTTACGGAAAACCGAATTTACCTGGCTTTGTACATTATTTTAAAGGACTGATCACATGGCTTGGATTGTTATTTACTGGTGATGTAGGATCTCTGCCTGGCTCTTTAGCACACTCTGCGAAGAAAATGTAAGGTACAAAGATGATTTGCATGTTCTAGACAGGAAGTCTCTAAATGTTGTGCAGCCCACACAAATCAATTCAACTATAGACACGCCAATCCCAGCCACTAGGGAAAACACTGAGAAAGGCAAATCAGATACCTTTTATTACATGTATTGACATACAATGTTGCATCCCTGCTGAAACTCTTCAACGGCAGTCCCTACCGTCCCGTTAGCTAGGGGGATTTTTCTCAGTATTTCATTTGGTAAGAAAATGGCACCTTTGGCTTATCTTTCAAATACTGTCTTTTCTCAGCACAGTTCACCTACTGTCCTTTACCTAGCTTCACATATCCTTTTGGCAATCCTTTAAGATATAAACCCTGTTTCTATTCATGATACTAATTTAAACTAATTTATTGATTATATACCAAATCTTATTGTATATTCACACACATATTTTGAGCATCTGTTATCCTCCAGATATTAACCACTTTTACATTCACTGTTGATTTAAATATCCTTCAGTAGACCACAAAGTTTATTTCCCTGATGGCTTTGTGGATTTCCACAGTGATTATTAGCCAGGTTTGGATTAAACCAGTGATGGGGAAAAAAATCAAATACAACACAATTGCTTATTGTATTTTCCAAAGGACCAAGTGTTTATCTGTTACACAAGAAAATATTATATGAGGGTGATGATGGTATTTAATTGAGATGTTTTAGAGATGGAATTTATAAAGGGGCAAATACTAAAAATGTCACAGTCGAAACTGAAGCAAGAGAATATGAACATAGAAAGCAAATAGTTCTAAGAATATCCTAGCGTAAATTATTTTTATTTGACTAATAGTAAAAGCCTTCAAATGTGTCTCTCAGACACCAAGAAGCTGCTAACTGTAAGTTAGGGTCAAAGAAGACACTTGCTATTATGGTTGGTTTGCTGTATTTCAGTAGTTCTGGGTGTCCTTTGTTAAAATTGGAAAATAAAATGAAAACATTTATCTGGGAAGAAATGTCAAACTGATGACTTCTGTGAACTATAAAGTGTTCACTTTTTAAAAATAATTTAAAGATGTAAACAAATGCCTAATATTTAAGTTGATATTACAGCCAAAAAACAAACAAAAAAAAAAAACCATGTGCTCCATCTTGTACTTTTCACTGTTGCTTTAATAAAGGGTTTGCGCAGGTGTGTGGAATGTGTGTCTGTCCCACCTGAAGGGCATGTCATTGTGGTCTGATTTACTTTTTCCAGCAATATGGAACCTGTCATCAGTTCTTGTCCCTGCCTTGTGTATCTGGTATTGAGAAGAGAGGAAAATGAAATAATTTGTATGTAAAACTACAAAACTGTTTCCAAAGCCAGCAGCCTTAACTCCCTCCTGACAGATTTTATGGCAATTTATTTTTATGTATATCAAGAAATAATTTTTAGCACATAACATCAAGCTTGCTGTAGAGACTCCAAAAGACCAGGAAACTCGCATACCAGAACATTCCACAGGGAGAAACACGAGTAGCAGATTTGCTATGAAGCACATTACCAAAAACCCCGTTGCCATCGAGTCGATTCCAACTCATAGTGACCCTACAGGACAGAGTAGAACTGCCCCATAGAGTTTCCAAGGAGTGCCTCGTGGATTTGAACTTTTGACCTTTTGGGTAGCAGCCGTAGCATTTAACCACTACACCACAAAGCACATTAGAGGACTCCAAATCCAACTCAAGTCCAAGACAGTGCTTAGTAGGTTTCTTTGGCAGTAAAAAATTGCAAAAGCTGAGTTCTTCTTAGACAGGATGAGATATGGGATGTGTCCGTGAACCAAGAGAAAAATACTTTCAAAGGGGAAAGTAAGACAAAAAGGGCAGGAAGTCAGTATTTTACTGCAGAGTAGACAGAAGAAGCGAATAAAACAGCCGAGTGAGTTAGACAATAAACTGTACATATAACCATCCACAGGTTCCCTCAAGCAAAGAAGGCTTTAAGAGAATCAGGTTGGCCTTAATGGAAAAATTCGTACTTGTGTTATCACCAAAGAGAAAATGGAGAAGTTTCGTCCTGACTGTGAAGTGTTGGCTGGTCCAGATTTTCAGGACCCAGAACAAACAGTGCTAATTTTTTGTTGTTGCTGCAGGTTTTGGAATGCCATGTTCTGCATGGGCCTTAAAGCAGCTGGGTAAGGCTTCATGCTAGTATGAACGTTATCAAAGAAGCTAATAGTCTCACCATTGGAAAATAAGTGCCAGGGTATCTGATTTACAAATCTTTTCTACACTATCCCTAATAAATAGTAGTTCATCTCTGCATAAAAATATCTGAAAATGAAGAGCTCATTACTTCACGAAGTAGCATATTCCATTGATGATGGGTTTTAAGTGCTAAGTCAAAACTTTAAAAGTACTACCCACTGGTCATTGTCGGGCCATCTGGAGCTGAAAGCATGGGTTAGTCCTGCCACAGTAACACTGTCTTCGTTACTGTCAGTGCAAAACTGAAATTATAAATGTATTTATATGAAAAAGAGGATTGCTCAAAAAATCGAGTACTGATACTCCTACATTAATTATATGCCACGTGGCACACACCCTTTTGCGTAAACTGCCAACAGGAATGTCAAGGTGGAAGCTGGTACATCAGCTGTTCCCCTGCCCCGAGATGCTCTGAGGCTTTAGTGCATTAAATAGATGACAGAATGAATGAAGGCACAGGTCCACTGCCTCAGCAGACTACCGTGTTTGAAGACCATTAGAACTGACATACTGGGAGATGTGTAAGTGTGATCGTGAGGAAATTTGGAATAGTAATTGAATTAGAGCTGACAGGAATTGCGTTTACCCTATTAGGTAAAATCAAGACACCAAGGGTGGAACAAGTTTCCTGAAATATTATATAACGTTAAAAATATATATGAAGGAAGGTTCATATAGAATATGTATTTTTCAAAAACCAAATTTCTCACAACCCCTGTGTTTTCTACCTCTAGCCCAGTGTTCATTGGGGTCACATGGGGTCAACCGTGAGTTGGAATTGACTCAATAGCAACCAACAACAGCCCAGTGTTCATTGAAAACGCAGGTTATTTTGGTGGGTGCTTGGAACTGACTAAACAGTAGACTTTCTTAAAACTCATGTTTTAAAGTTGATGAAATAGGAATCCCAGTAAATGTGCAAAAAAAAAAAAAAAATCTGAGCATAGCACTCTAACAAAATGAGGGGATTTCTTGTTGCTCAGCGTAAGAACTGTACAGCACCTATTTCCTGCATGTTTTTTTATTCCTATGAAGTCGATGTATATTAAAAAACCCCATTGCTGTTGAGTCGATTGTGACTTAGGACAGAGTAGAACTGCCTCCTAGTGTTCCCAAGGAGTGGCTGGTAGATTTGAACTGCTGACCTTTTGGTTAGCAGCCGTAGCTCTTAACCACAAGCCATTGGAGACCCCTAAAGTGATCAGTGTCTCTGGTTTTAAGCAAAAGGAGGCCTAATTATTATGTGTGCCAGTGCTGCAGATTTCTAGACATTTGGTGATGTGAACAAAGTTTGTCCCAAAGCTTTAAGAGGATTCATAATTCTAACCATCAAAATTTTTACCTATAATTAAAAAAAAAAAATTTACCTGAAAAGGTAAAATTACTCTGTAACAGCTCTACAAATTGCCCTCATTATTGGATGTTGTTTTTTATTCTCTTCCCTGCTAACATTACCTCAGCTCCATGAGAAAATTATCTCCATGTAGTGTAATATAAAAGAGGTAAATTTTAATGTTGGTCATGTCTGAAACTATTTTAAAACTGAAACATAACCCAAAACTATGATCCACTGTTAGATTTGCAAGAATTTCTTCATATGATGAAGAAAAAAATCTGAAAGTTGTAAGCTACCTCAGAAAAATGTAATTGCATGGTCTTATGCTATTTTGTAGGAAAAAAGAAAAATGACGATACGGAGAATCTGTGATTGTTAAATTTTTTAATGTGCAAAATACAAGTTTGGCATCAGCTCAGCCTAAATTCTTTGTCTTCACAATAATTTTTGAGCTACATTGGTGAGATTTCTGAAACCCTGCCAGAACCTGGAGAAAATCCAAATTTAAAAACTGTATATTATTCTTGGATCATACTATTTCATGTTACTTTTCTCATTCCAGAATGGATTGGAGGTGATTGAGTTAAATACATATTTATATTCTAAGGATTCTTTGATAATTACTGTGTTTCATATAAATTCATTAACTCTCAGTAACCAGACTACTTTATCAATCAAATATGTTACTCCCAATTGTGTTTGAATAAACGAGAGATTTACAATAGGATTATAAAAGCAGATCACTGGATGCTCTATAATTTTTTTTTTAACCTGTAGTTTAAAATGGGAGACTACGCTAAAAGAATAAAACGCTGTTATGCTTACTCACAAATTGAACACATAATGGACGGCAGGAGGTAAGAACAAACAAAACATGCAATATCTTTTCCTCCAAGTCCTCGCAGATGGATTTGGATTTGCGTTTTTAAACTTTTTTCATTATGAGATTTTTAAAACACTTCAGTGTTATAATCCATACAGGTAGAGAATTATACACCGTCAGACTGTTTTCCTTCTTCATTACATATTTGCATTCACCAGCATAGGAAAACTAATATAGTCCTGATTTTCTGTTTGTGTGAGATCTACAAACAGGATGGCTGTGCTTTATGGCACCTGATTTTGATTCGGTCCATTATCCAAACATGAAATTCTCATTCCAGTTGGAAGCAAAAATGTATATGTACCCACTGTGGTGGGTGAAGCTTGACAACTGTTGTGAACTTGTATGTCTACTTGTATGATGCACGTGTGAATTTGATCTTACTAAGTACTCTGAGCCTGGACCATATAACACATTTTTTCCTTAGACTTTTTATTTTGAAATAATTGTGGATTCATATGTACTTGTAAGAAATGTTACAGAGAAATTTACTTAGTTTTCCCCAATGGTAACATCTTGCAAAACTATAGCACACTATCACGATCAGGATATTGACATTGATACAATCCATCAACCTTTTTTCATAGTTTCCCAGTTTTATATGTACTCATTTGTGTGTGTATGTGTGTTCTACACATTTTTATCACATGACTAAGTCTGTGTATTCACCACAAGATACAGAACAGTTCCATTACCACAAAGATTCATTACCACAAAGATTCCATTACCATAAAAATGTTGCCCTTTTATAACCACACCTACCTCCTTCCCACCACCTAAGCACATTTTTCTAATCAGTAAATTCTGCTTGATTAGGTAACCGACATTTATCTGGAACCAACTGTAATAAGTGAGTTTTTCCATAAAATGTGCCAATTTATCAATTTCTTGATGCCTGATTTCCCATCACTTTAGAATGACTTGTTCAGTGAAGACAGAGAGGAGGTTTCTGAAACAAAGGAAGAGAGCTGTTCACACACTTGAAATCCTAGAAAACCCTTGAGAAGCAGAGGACCTGAAGCAGCAATAGGACACAGTCTTTGGTAAAAGAACTCTTGGACATACAGTTCATGCCCTAAACTCTGGTAGCCAAGAGATGCAGACGATGGAACAAAGTCATGGTTTCTACATATCTTTAAGTCTCAAGGAAAAGAGTCTCCAAGTATCTGAAATGTCTCGTATTCACTACCACTCCAGAAGTTCCAAAACTGAGGCCACAGAATGGTGAACAGAAGATCATGGGTAAAGACTCAAACGGCCTCCTTGATGCTGGTGCATACCATGTTAGATAAGGCAGGAGTCAGTGTTAAATGCCTAGCACCTAGGCAATAATGAGATCTATTAATGGTGCTGTTACGTTAAGAAAGCATCAAGGGTCTTGGTAAAAACCTAACACCACTCACCATCCCAAGTATTGAAATTAAGGCAACTGGTCTCGGAGTTGAGAGAAAAGACCCTCAGCCCAAACTCAGAAGAAGGTGGCAGGAGGCAGATTTCTGGCGTGAGGAGTGTGGAGAGGCCCTTCTTCGAAGCCACTGAAATGCCACCATGAAAGAGTCGTTCCTTCAGAGTAACATTTTTCTCATACTATGCAAGTGCGCTGAGCCTGTAAAGACAATTAGCCCCTCTTGAGTATTATTACTATATAGTATGAATTGGCTTAATCCTATGAGTCTATCTAAAACCAGCAGAAATACGAGTGCTGAGCAGGTAAAGGAGAAGTATGAGTGATGTCAGCTCCCCCTGGCTGGAGATCCCGGGCAGCCAGAAAGCATCATGAATACGGACCTCGGGCACATGAGAGGAGTTGCCTAAGGGAAGCCTGAGAAAACTGAAAAATAACTTCTACTCATACAGCTACCGGCCCAGCCATGCCCAGGGACCAGTGAATTTTTAAAATATGGCAAATAATGTATGCATCAGCTTATGTAAATTCATCATTAAAATGGAAAATATCCGTTACCTCATTTCTAGTCGAGAAATTCCTCTAGTCTTAGTCCTAGTCATCGTCTCAATGACACAAATGCTTAAAGCATTTTGGTCTAAGCTAATTTGGGTCCTGTTATAAAAATCAAGTTGTTGAATCATTTCCATGAAATAATTGTGGATTCATA